TAACTCTACACTTCCACTGGAGGACATGAGTGTTCCCCTCACTCTGTGTCTCCACCACACTTGGTATTCTTTTAGCCTACCTGTTTGTAGTATAGTGTTACCTTATGGTTTTGATTTCCTTTTTCCTCATTGCTAATGAAGTCAAATGCAAAGAAACCTGTTGAGATTCTTCTTGGAATTGCACTTAATCTTCAGATCACTTGGGAGAGAATATTACAAAAATAAGCCTTCTATACATTAACATCAGTTGTTACAGCATTTTGGGGCCAGCACTGTGGCATAGCGAGTAAAACTGCTGCCTGCAGTGCCAACATCCCATATGGGCACTGATTCGAGACCCAGTTGCTCCACTTCTGATCCAGCGCTTTGCTATGGTCTGAGAAAGCTGTGGAAGGTGGCCCAAATCCTTGGGCCCCTGCACCTGCGTGGGAGACCCAAGGAAGCTCCCGGCTCCTGGCTTCGGATCATTGCAGCCATCTGAGGAGTGAACGAGCAGATGGAAGACCTCTCTCTCTCTCTACCCCCTCGCCCCCACCTCCCCATCAACCTCTGCCTCTCTGTAACTCTGCCTTTCAAATAATAAATAAATAAATTTTTAAAAGACCCCTACCTTACACCTTACACAAAAATCCACTCAAAATGGACCAAAGACCTAAGTATAAGACCCGATACCATCAAATTATTATTATTATTTTGTAAAGATTTATTTATTTATTTGAAAGATTTATACAGAGGCAGGGAGAAAGTGAGGTCTTCCATCCTCTGGTTTACTTCCCAGTTGGCCACAACAGCTGGAGCTGTGCTGATCCAAAGCCAGGAGCCAGGAGCTTCCTCCAGGTCTCCATGCAGGTGCAGGGGCCCAAACACTTGGGCCGTCTTCTACTGCTTTCCCAGGCCATAGCAGAAAGCTGGATTAGAAGTGGAGCAGCTGGGACTTGAACCAATGCCCTTATGGGCATTGCAGGCAACGACTTTACCCACTACGCTACTGTGCCGGCCCCAATACCATCTAATTATTGGAGAACATTGAGGAAACCCTGCAAGACATTGCTGTATGCAGAGAGTTCTTGGAAAAGACCCCAGAGGCACAAGCAGTCAAAGCCAAAATTGACAGATGAGATTACATCAAATTGAGAAGCTTCTGCACTGCAAAAGCAACCCTCAGCAAAGTGAGGAGGCAACTGACAGAATGGGAGAAGTTATTTACAAACATGCAACTAATAAAGGATTAATAACCAGAATATATATAAAGAGCTCAAGAAACTCAACAACAACAAAGCAAACAATCCAGTTAAGAAATGGACAAAGGACTTAAACAGGTGTTTTTCAAAAGAGGAAATCCAAATCCAAATAATCAACAGACACATGAAAAAATGCTCAGGATCACTATCCATCAAGGAAATGCAAATCAAAACAACAGTGAGGTTTCATGTCACCCTGTTAGAATGGCTCATATACAGAAATCAACAAACAACTGCTGGTAAGGATGTGGGGGAAGAAAGTACCCTAATTCACACTTGGTGGGAATGTAAACAGGTAAAGCCACTATGGAAGACAGTATGGAGATACCTCAAAAATCTGAATATAGACCTGTCATATGACCCAGCCATCCCACTCCTGGGGATTTACCCAAGGGAAATAAAAGATAAACATGGAAGTACATTGCAGCTCAATTCACAATAGCTAAGATATGGAATCAACCCAAATGTCCACAACTGAAGACTGGATAAAGAAATCATGGGATATGTGCACCATAGAATACTATACAGCGGTTAAAAAAAGATGAAATCCTGTCATTTACAACAAAATGGATGAATCTGGAAAACATCATATTTAGTGAAATAAGCCAGTACCAAAAGGACAAATACCATATGTTCTCCCTGATTGTGGTAAATAATAGAGTACCTAAAAGATAATCTATGGAAATGAAATTGATGCTTAATCTATGGAAATGAAATTGAAAAAGGGCTTTGAACAGCCCTTGTCTCAACTATTTGGGAACAGTTTTTTTTTTTTTTTTCTTTCATACAATTTGTTGAACTCTTTACTTAGTATGGAGTTAATCTTATGTGTATACAGTTAATTGAAAATAGATCTTAGTAGGAAATAAGAATGGGAGTAGGAGAGGAAGGAGAAAGAAGTGTGGGAGTGTGGGTACGGTGGGAAGACTCACTGTGTTCCTAAAGTTGTATTTATGAAATGCATGAAATCTGTATACCTTAAATAAAAGGTTTCTGGGGGGAAAAGTATGAATAATTTTCATCATTTGAAATTCATTGTTATAGACTAGTGTCTGCTAATTTTAACTGAAAGAATTAAAAAAGGAGAGAACGATCCAACATGGGAAGCAGGATACACAGCAGACTCATAGAATGGCAGATGTCTTAAACAGCACTCTGGCCTCAGAATCAGCCCTTAAGGCATTTGGATCTGGCTGACAAGCCCATGAGAATATTTTAGGCATGGAAAGCCAAGACGCTGTGGCAAAACACACACACACACACACACACACACACACAAACACAAAAACAAAAAAAAACAAAAAACAACCAACCCTAAATGAAAGATCTCTGCAAGTGAGATCCCAGTAGAAAGAACAGGCCATCAGAGAAGGAGATACCTCTTTCTCTGAAGGGAGGAGAGAACTTCCACTTTGACTATGACCTTCTCTAAATAAGATCGGAGTTGGTGAACTCAAAAGGCTTCCATAGCCTTGGCAACTCATGACAAGAGCCTAGGGTGATTACTGACGCCATTAACAAGAGTGTCAATTGTTAAATCAACAACAGGAGTCACTGTGTACTTACTCCTCGTATAGGATCTCTGTCCTTAATGTGTTGTACAATGTAAATTAATGCTATAACTAGTACTCAAACAGTACTTTACACTTTGTGTTTCTGTGTGGGTACAAACTGTTGAAATCTTTACTTAATATATACTAAATTGATCTGTATATAAATATAATTGAAAATGAATCTTGATGTGAATGGAATGGGAGAGGGAGCGGGACAGGGGAGGGTTGCGGGTGGGAGGGAAGTTATGGGGTGGAAAAGCCGCTGTAATCCAAAAGCTGTACTTTGGAAATTTATATTTATTAAATAAAAGTTAAAAAAGAAATTGTTATTTATTAATTTTTAAAAGCCTGTGTGTGCTGGGTAAAATGTCTGTTCTGTAGTTGTTGAGAATGTTATTCTACATATGATCAGAAGATGAATTTTTTTAAAGATTTATTTATTTATTTGAAAGAGTTACACAGAGAGAGGTGAGGCAGAGAGAGAGAGAGAGAGAGAGATCTTCCATCTGCTGGTTCGCTCCCCAATTGGCCACAGTGGTCACAGCTGCACCCATCCAAAGCCAGGAGCCAGGAGTTCCCTCCGCATCTTGCCATGCGGGTGCAGGGGCCCAAGGACTTGGGCCAAGTAGATGAATTTTGCTTACTGTGCTATTCAAATCTTCTGCGTGTTTACCCATATTTATTTGCTCATTTAGACAGTTACTGAGAGAAGTGTGCTAACATCCCACTAGGTTGAATTTCTCTTTTTCTAGTTCTGGCAATTTTTGCTTTCTCTATATTGAGCTCATGTTATTAAATTGATACAAATTTAGAATTATTTCATCTTCATGGTAAATTGAATATTTTCTTATTTTTAATTATACTTCTTCATCTCAAATAATAATTATTACCTTAAGGCTAACCCTGACTGATACTAATTTAGCTACATACATTTTTATTTTATTTTAGTTCTTGTTTGCATGGTAAAATTTTTCCATCCTTTCCAACTTCTCTGCATATTTGTGCTTTAGATGTTGGTTTATAAATAACAGAGTTTTGTTTTATTTACTTAATCAAAGTGTGCCAATCTGTGTCTTTAAAAGACTAGTTAAGAGGGTTTTTTTTTGTTTTTTTGTTTTTTTGTTTTTTGTTTTTTGTTTTTTGTTTTTTTTTTTTTTTTTTGACAGGCAGAGTGGACAGTGAGAGAGAGAGACAGAGAGAAAGGTCTTCCTTTTTGCTGTTGGTTCACCCTCCAATGGCCACTGCGGCTGGTGCACCGCGTTGATCCTAAGGCAGGAGCCAGGTGCTTCTCCTGGTCTCCCATGGGGTGCAGGGCCCAAGCACTTGGGCCATCCTCCACTGCACTCCCTGGCCACAGCAGAGAGCTGGCCTGGAAGAGGGGCAATTGGGACAGAATCCGGCGCCCCAACTGGGACTAGAACCTGGTGTGCTGGCGCCGCAAGGCAGAGGATTAGCCTAGTGAGCCGCAGCGCCGGCCAGTTAAGAGTTCTTAATCTCTGCGAGTCTCCTTAGCTTGATAAGTGTCTTTTTAAAATTAATGTCCTACTTTTTTTTAAGATTTATTTTTATTTATTTAAAAGGCATGGTTACAGAGAGAGAGAGTTACAGAGAGAGAGCTCTTTCATCTGCTGGTTTATTCCCCAAATGGCCATAAGGCTAGGGCTGGGCCAGACCAAAGCCAGGAGCCAGGAGCTTCTTTCCTTGTCTCCCTTGAGGGTGCAGGGGCCCAAGCACTGGGCCATCTGCTGCTGCTTTCCAGCCATTAGCAGGGAACTGGATCGGAAGTGGAGCAGCTGGGACTCGAACAGGGAACCAATTGGGATGCCAGTGTCACAGGTGGCAGCTTTACCCAGCATGCTACAATGCAGCCCCATATGTGGATAAGTCTTTAAACAATAATTTTTTTACATTCAGAAAATAGTTTATTAACACCTGTAAGCTTAAGAAATGTATCTTTGATATTTATGTATATACATGGGAATTTATGGAATGCCATCATTTCCTATTACTTCTTTGATTCCTGTATAATGAAACCAAGTCCAGGGACTCAGCTATGCTGAGGACAGTATTTTTAATCTGGTGTCTGGGGAATTTGGTTTGTAGCTCTTTTATTGTGATTTACCTGTCTAAATCCAATAGACACAGCATGCCTCTCTTCATACGCCTGTTTTATAAGATACTATAAAAATTCCATTTTTGATTTCAGGGCTGCGACTCCCAGGTGAGCGTGTCGGAAGCGTCTTGCAGCGAGAGCGCCTCCTCCTGCCAGTCTCTGGAACACGGCTCGGTCCCCGAGATCCTCATCGGCCTGCTCTACAACGCCACGACTGGAAGATTATCAGCAGAAGTGATAAAAGGCAGCCACTTCAAAAACCTGGCAGCGAACAGACCACCCAGTGAGTGAAAAAATAATTTTTTTCATTCTAATGTTTTCTGTACTTAGGGGACTCTCAGCGTTAGGGGTTTCAATCCTATCATTTAGTCTGAACCAATCAAAATGAAATGGTGCAATCATCAGCTAATCTCTTTCATGTTTTCTATTTCCAGTCATTTGGGAAGTAGGAAAATTTGAAATTCAAAATATTAATTGTAAGGTGACAGGACTTTTAATTTTTCATAGTGCCTGCAGAATAAATTATCCCTATCATGGCCATTATCTTTTAACGTCAGAAAAAGTTACAAGGCTTTAAAAAGTGAGTGATGCTCCCAATATAAACAGGAATGTGTGTAGCCCTTGCTGTCAACTGCGGATTACTTCTGTGTTTTCTGTGTGCAGGCGGTACTGCGAACTACTGTTTTTACTTCTGTGTCGTCCCCTTTTGCCCCCTTAACAGTCGAGGACGAAAGTGTTCACATTTCTTTCCCTTTAAAACTGCAAACGGGTACTGCGGCAGAGGCTTGTCTCAGAGACCCTCACGGGCCCTGCCTGTGCCAGGACAGGCAGAAAGAGGACTGCTCTGCTGAGTGCACCTCAGGTGCTAGGCAGGGAGAGGAACTGGCAGGCCTGTGCCCTCTGCCCTCTGCCCTCTGCCCTCTGCCCTCTGCCCTCGTGTGCGCCTCCTGCTCTTCTCTCTGCCTCTCGCAGTCCACTGGGGTGAGGGCAGGTTCTGGGCATACAGAGGTGCTGGCTGTCCCCTGACGAACCCCCAGCCCGTCTGTGCCTCTCTGTGAGATGTACCGGGGGCATCTTTGTGCTTTCCCAAAATCACAGCTGTTGATGCCTAAACTGAAGATTGATTCAAAAGGAAATGCTGACTAATAATACCACCTTAAATTTCTTTAAGGATTCTGCCACAATTGCTTAGTGCAGCCTTTTACTGCACACACTAAATAATTATTAAAGGAGGGGAAATTTGTTCAGACTGAATTAAATAAGCTTTACTTCTAAATGTTACGGAAGCTCTTTATTCGATGGGTGAAAGGCCTGACTGTATTTGGTTTGCCCCAAGTCATATTGGAACGCCTGCTTCCAAGGTCATATCAGGGAATGTATCCATTCCTGAATTAGAAGTCCGGAGGCTACTGTGATATTTACGTTTCTCCCCTTACATGAGTGACCTCAGTCCGTTTCTTTATAGGTAAAATAAAGGCCATGTCCCTCACGGGGTAATTGGGCGGCTCAGGTGAGATCAAGGTGCCTCAGAGATGGCTGGAATTAAGGGGTCTGCCTTCTCATTTCACACGGGCAAGTTCGGTAGGAGACAAGAAGCAATGACTAGAATAAACCGATGTGGAAGCGTGGCTTGGTTATCTTCATTAAAACACACACTTAGGATGCAGGCTCCAATGGCCTGAGAAGGAAATGAGTAAAGCTCATAGATGAAGGCGAGGGAGCGTGGTGAGGCCAGTGACAGGCAGGAGTGTGCACGCCCTGGCCGAAGACATTCGGACCGCAAAAAGTTTTGACACTGTACAGCTGAAACGAAACATCATCTGGGTCACCTGGAGCCGCAGGCTATCTGTTCGTCTTTCATGCTTTAGCGAAAAGTATACTTTTTTAAATAAATATTGATAAAATGTAGTGTAATAAAATGATTGGCTTGCCTTCCTGTAGCCACTCTGATGAAACCAGAGAAACACAGACTAAAATGAACCATGGCAAGGCCAGGGGCAGCAGCAGGGACAGGTAATAAACACGTTGAGAAAGATTAACATCCACACCTGGAGCCAATATTTTGGACTAAAAAATAGGTTATAGGAATTACCATTATTTTAGAATTTGATCTTCAGTATAAGGATGATCAGTGGTATTAGCTGTGAGGTAACTAGGAAGTAAATATAAGTCAATATTAAAAGCAATTACTTGAACACAGAGTATTTATAAAGCAAAAGTAGGATATTTATAAAATAAAATGTAAAACAGTTTGAGCAGTTTTCATAAGCTGAATAAATTATGTAAAGTTGTAGCTCTTCATTTATACCCAGGTTCTGAGCTTTGAATTATGCCACATAATGAATAATACCAATATTAACTAAATAAACAGTAGCAACATTCAAGAGCAGAAATTTTGATAGTTCTGTTTTATTTTGTGTAACTTAATTTTATATCACATTGGGAGTAATAAAAGTATTGCAAATATCAAATATTGCATGGACAAACTTAAAATTTGGCATAATAATGATGATCCTATAATGAATGACTTTTATTCAGTCTTTTGTAGTTTGATAATTTGCATGATTCTATGTTCAATGTGCTTCAGACCAAGAAGATATCTTTATAAAGATGTCCCTCTTTAAAACAGTGTAATTTTTATTTAAGGTTGCACAATGACCTTAAAATTCTCATTCCATGAAATTTACCCAACAACCCTTTTGTTCAACCCTCTGCCTGAATTAAAATGCTAAAGTTTTGTGTTCTTCCACCCCAGTGAACAGTGTTTCCTCTTTAATTCTAACCTTTGACCCTCTTTCACCCAACGATTGACATCTGGTCATTATTTCTTTTACTGCTTTCCACCCCCTGTTGTCAGATGGACTGTTCTGTTGTCTAAAACACTTGATAGGTGGACAGGTTTATATTATCCGAGGTGAGTTCCTGTAGAGGCTAATTGGATGTTGTCTTTTCATGCAAAAACAAAATACCCTAAAACTTGCCAGCAGTGAAGCTGTCCACCATGTTGGTTTCTGAAAAAAATGCACATTTATTATCTGTGGTACTATAAATAAAAACTAACGTAGAATTTATCTCTGATTATGGATGATGGTGTGCAGAATATCTATAAAAGAGGCAAAACATTTTTTAAATGAAAGCTTTTATTTTTTCATTCATCTGTACTTTGATTCATATAACAGAAGTAGATATTTCATGAGAAATATTGCAGTTTTCTTTAAAATTAATTGAATTTTGATCTGAAGTACACATGATGGATCAACATGCTGAAGATCATTTGCATGGGGCTAAAGAGCTTGAAAGCCCATTCGTTCAGAGAGGATTTTCTCCCAGATAATCAGGCAATGAAGTGTTCTGTTTCACTTTGTACACTCAACATCACATCAGGTTTTTGTTTTCTAATTCATGAAAATAATTAAGATATCATACTTGAAATTTTACATTAAATTGTGCCAAAAAGAATTTCTGTGGTATTTATCTTAACTACCTAAAAAAGCACATTAAATATACTGTTGCATGAAACCAGGAGAAAGTTTTACTTGATTTGTTAAACTTTGAACTCTTAATGCATTTGGCGTCATTTTGGCCCTTAAATGTTTTTAAGATATATTTTAAAACCACATCCATGCAGAGATTTTTTTGACATTTCATCCTAAGCTGTTTCGATGTCATCTTTGCGTATTTGTCTTCCTCTTTTCCTCTTCACCATTTGCCTTCATTCCTATTTGTTTGTTTCTTCTGATTCTCTGAAAACACAGTGGAATGCTTTACAGTGTTGTGGCTAATCAAGCTTGCTAAGTGTTGATTAATGCTATGATGTTGTGCTCAGTGAAGCTGAATGGGACGAGAGTGGGCAGGGGTGGTAGTGGGCGGGCAGGGATGTGGGTGGGAGGGGAAAGGAAGGATTATGAGGTATACCTTTAAATTCTATTATTGAAAACTAGTGAGGTTAAGTTATTATTACCCCAAAAATATTTTTGGCCTACTTAAGGTTTTCTGTTACTTATCACATTTTGTAAGCATCTACATCAAAATGGAATTGGTTGAATTACCATTAAACATGGTATACACCATATCCTTGTAAAGTTTAAATATTTAATCTTTTCAGCATATGTTGCGAGAAAATTATGTTGAGTTTGCTTCAAATGATACGTGTGATGTGTTGTTTTTTCCTTTAGATACATATGTTAAGTTAACTCTACTGAATTCCATGGGTCAAGAGATGTCCAAATGCAAGACATCCATCCGCAGAGGGCAGCCAAACCCAGTGTACAAGGAAACGTTTGTTTTCCAAGTGGCCCTATTTCAGCTTTCTGATGTAACACTCATACTGTCCGTGTATAACAAACGCAGCATGAAAAGAAAAGAGATGATAGGCTGGATTTCTTTAGGTCTGAACAGCTCTGGAGAAGAGGAACTCAATCACTGGACTGAGATGAAAGAGTCCAAAGGACAGCAAGTATGTAGGTGGCATGCGTTGCTAGAGTCGTGATGACAGTTCGCAGGAGCGGTCGCAATCCAAGGCGGCGTTATTTCTGATCACAACATACTGCTTTCACCTAATCACCATCAGAGGAGCTGTACTTTGAAGAGTCGCACTCAACATTCTACCAAAATGCTTTAAATTCGGTGGGAAGAACATCTAAAACTGACAGCGATGAAGAAAAGATCTCTCTGGTAGAGCTTGTTTGGGAAACTGAGAAACTGACATCATTATTGTTAAACTAACACCACTCCAGAGACATACTTCTGATTTGAAGTTAATTTTACTTTAGCTAAAAAGCCAGTAATGTCATGGAATATTATAAGTGCTTTTAAAAAATCAAAATTTTAGTTGCAACAGTATTTCAGTATCACCCCACATATCCACAAAACCCGTTTCAACTGGCTGGTCCCTGCTGTTTGTGATGTTCCCTGATGAGAAATGAGCAGTTCTCCAGCTCTCTCCTAAGTCAGATCCGTGGTGGAGGGCGTCAGTCCATTGAACCTGGTTTATTTCAGGTGTTTTCCCTCTCTGCATTCGGTTTCATTGTGCCTCAGTTCTTCTCAAAAGCACTGAATCTGAGTGCAGGCAGGCACTCATTTCTGTGAAGGAATTTTCTAAATGTGTTGCTTTTTTTTCCCCCAAGTTCATTTCTTCATTTGCATCTGCCTTTGCCTGATCCAAAGAGACCAAGTCACTGCACTGGTCCCTTGCAAGTCTCCTAGACAGGTTGTACTGTAGAACTATGTAACTTTCTGTTGAAAGCACTTCCTGTATTATTGTATTCCAATGTAGGAAGCTAATAGAGCAGGCCTTGACTTTAAAAATCCTTTCAGTAATTAACTCTTTAAAATTGTAGTAATTTCAAAATACCTTTTTTTTTAACAAAGTGAAAAACACAGTAGATGAGCTATTAGAAATTGAAAACAATTCAAGTTAAAGAAAAATGTCTGCTCTGGGTACTTAGAAACCAACACTGCATAAAGCAGGTAGCATTCAGGATAAGAAACAGTCCTCTCTAAATCTCACTTTTACTTCAATTTGTATTTGTGATATAAAGACTATCCAGTTCTCAGTTGATTCAGAACATCCTATGAACGGTTCTGAGACTCCTTACGAAGTTTCTAGTGACTTGTGATGAGATTTTATGAAATTTACAGACAATGTGCTTCAACGTGACGTCATCCTGTGCCTTTCTTGTAAGCTGAATTTGCTCATACAGCTTGAAAGTTGTATTTGCGAAATTAGGCCTTCAATTTTTATAAATGTAAAGATTCCTCAGAACAGTGTCACAAATCTTGATTTCCTCGGACACGAGTAAAGGTTGTACGAATTTTTTAAATGACAGGACACTTTCATTTGTTCTTTTTATATTTAGGAACTCTGGTCTGTCAGGAATATTATAAGCTGTTTTCTTTTTAATTTTGCTTCTTACCTAATATATAATTTTATGCATATACTTTCTTAAATAGAGTATGTTTATATATGAAAAAATTTGCTTTTTTCTTTCTCATTTTTAGTTAAACTAGACAAAAGCATATTATTTATCAGTTACTAAAAAGCTGTGTATCATTGTTCCTAGTCCTAAGTACTATATATCGTTGTAAGCTAGAACTTGTTATTGGCATAATAACAAAAATCATAGCATTTACTGCGGCTTGGCTGTACTGAGAGGCCTTAAGAGAAATCAAAAATATTATGAAGTCCTATATCTTTTTTAGTTAAAAAAATGGCAGCTCTATGCATTCATACACATAAACTATAGGAAAAATACAAATGCTATATTGGGTAACATGGAGTTTAGGAACATAGGTTGCAGAATTGCATGAAAGGGGAAATCCAGCCTTTTCTTGTTACATCAGTGAACTTTTTCCAGAATTTTTTATAGGTTAGTTAAGCTGTAAAGTTGGAACACGAATCAAATGGTAAAATAGGTATCTCATTGAAGTATCCTCAGCCAACAGTATACAAAAAGATTTGAAAGGGAGGGTGTAGATTTCATGGGAAATTAGACTTAGGCATTTGACATTACAGCTATCTTCTCCAGCTTTGGAACAACTGCCTGTATTGCTGACAACTGGTATCTTCCTAATAAAAAGAGTTATCAGGCTTATTTGTAGCTGGAACAAGCTTACTCAAACACATTAGTAAGATCAGTTTGGTGCTTTCACCCCTAGTAAGAAAAAGAACTAATTCATTGTTAAATGTACCTCTTTATTCAGACTATGCCCAGAATTAAGTTTGTGGTTTGATATATCCTAAGTTTATCTGGTGCAAGGATCAAGTCCTATGTGACCCAAAAATTAGTCAACGTTTTGAAAAACATTAAGAAAGACCCTCCCTTCATCCCAGCTTCCAGGTTCTCAAAGACGATAAAGTGCATGCACACCACGATTCTCAAAGATTAGAAAATGCATATACACGCACACACACCCTAGATAACTATGTGTGCACGTGTGTTAATTCACAAAGGTGAAGTGGCCATGGCTTTTTCAGAAAACTCAATGGAAAAAGATTTCTCAACTTATGGATTCTTTTTCTCCTCCATAAATTTGCCAGATACTATGTTTAGTTTGGGATGATATTTGCTGGCATTTTTCTCCATACAAAACAAAATATATACCTTTTTTTTTTCCTGTGAATTGACACAGCTTGAAGTAGTTACTCCCCCAAATTGACTGTTCTTATATAAAGGGATTACATGGGGCTCAAGAGACCCACACGACTCTGCTGATCTGATGTATTGCACAGTACTACTGTTGCTTTGTGTACTTGAATTTGCATGAAAGCTTAAAGACAAAACCTTGCATCTCACTAACTATAGCAAATAGGGGCCCAGTGGCGGGCAGCAGGTGCTGACTGGGAAAGTGGAGAAAGAAAACCCCCTTTCTTCCTGTTCATTGGAGTTGCCTCGTTTTATGATAAAATGAGACAGTCTAGAGATGGCAACTGACTGGTGGTTATGAGAGCTCATGAGCCTAGAGTCACAGTCGTGCAAATGAGCTGCCAAGTGTAGTTACTACTGGCCAGGTAATGACGTGTGTTTCAAACTGCAGAGAAGTGGTATAGGAGATCATCTTACCTTTCAGAAACATAGTCTCATGGTGCTGTGTCTTCAGTACCATCCACGTTTTGCCTGAAATCCAATCGAATATTACCTTATGCATTCAGTCAGTTCTCAATAGTACTGTATTGCTGACAAAAATAATAAATTGGACCCCAGCTTAAAAATGGAAAACCTAATTGATAAACTATCTAAGCTACCTTGATTGTTGTTCACATGTTTACATTTGAGGCCTGGTGGAGGAGTTTCATCCAGCATGGTGCTGACGCCTAGGGCTATCCATAAATCATTTCTTTAAGACCATCTTTTTTTTTTTTTTTTTTCCATTTACTTATCAAGTGAATCGCGCATAATCAGGGACTGCAAAGGAAGGTTGCACCAAGTAGAGAGAGAAGGAATAGAATTGAGGACGTTCTTCAAAGCGGAGATGGGTGGGGAGGCCGAATGATACTGCAGTCTTTCAAACGAACTGTAAAACAGGCTACTGGAAGGTGTGAGTTTAGGCGGCTTAAGAGCAGTTAGTCACCAACAGATTTTTTTCAAGGTACCTATCCAGATGTGAATAGAAAGGGCCTAAATCTATTTGCATAAAATTGCCATTTGTCTACATGGACTGGAAAACTCCTAGAAGTTTTTCCTATTAATTGACAGTTGTTGTATTATTTCACGTGGAGACTAATTATTCACAAGTTTCTGTTTCTTTGTTTTTCTCCCATCTGCCATCCCCAGTTCATGTGTGGCCTCCACTGGGGCAGCCATCAGTATAATTATCACCAGCCACTTAGTATCTCACAGGGTTAACCATGATACAAGGTATTTTCCAAAGTTAATTTTAAAACATCAGTTGGGCCTCCAAAATGTGTCATAAAGATGATAGTAAACAGCTGTAATTTACTAAGACCTGGCACAGTAACTTATTATTTGATTCTCACAGCAGTACTCCAAGGGAAGTAATATTATCAACGTTTTATCGATGAAGAAACTGCAGTTTTTTTTTTTTTCATCATTCAAGAGGTTAAGCGACTGTCCTAGGGTCATCCCATAAGTAAGTACATTAGTGAAACTAGCCTCCGAACCCAGGTGTAAGTTACTCTAAGACCTCTGCTATGCATGTTGAAGTTGGATCCTTCTTTACTAGTTGCAAAAACAGTGTTTATTAATGATCCCACCCACCTTCATGGAATGCCGAAACTAGGGGGCAAAATAAACTTGAGTGACAGAAAAACAATCAGGATTTCATTCCTCTCAGGCCGCAGATGATACTCTGTGTCATACCTTGTAGATGACTTTGTTTTCCAAAGACTTGAGATTAATTTACCAATGTAGCACATACTAATGTTCCGAAAGTATACTAATCAATTTATTCTGCTTTTTGACTGCTTCTGGGAATCTGAGGTATTTAACTGCATAAGCACCTTTTTGCCCTGGGCAGCAGAAATCCTGTAACCTGTCAGGCCCACATCTTAACCCAGCCAGTTGCCAGCAGGTTCTGCCTCCCTGTACTCTCGGTGCAGCTTATTTATGCTTCCCCTGTGCTCTTTAATAAAGAGAACACAGGAGTTACAGCTAGTTTCATCGCATGTCGCTCTGTCCCCCTAGGAGAAGATAACTCCTGAGTCGAAGAATGAAAATATGTTAGACTCACACCAAACTCCAGACACATGTTCTTCCCAGGGACAAGACACAAACTAGTGTTTTCCAAACTGCATTGCACTTCAAAATTACCTTGAGAGCTTAATTTTGTATCTACAACTCCGTCTCCAAGGATTCGGTTTCACTGGGTCTGGGGAAATCTAAGAAGCGACATTTTATCAGACACCCCAGGAAATCCTCTCTTGAGATATTGGTGTAGACTATTGAACTTATTGCATAAAATTATCAGTAGCAGTGCCTCAGTATCTGTAGATTAGATCTCTAAGTGTGACAGTGGATAAATCAGGGAGAGATTAAGACTAGGGGTAGTAGTATTGATATTTGTGCTTTCTCAAAGGGAAACATGTTTAGTGAACAATAAAAATTGATATTAATCATGAGTTCCTGCACATTCACATTTAATATAACTTCTTCAAACTGTTGCTTGCTGTAATAAATATATTTTGCTGTGTTGGTTCTAGGATTCTTGCACATTCCTTTGCATTAGATACAAGGCCGGGAGGATGTCTGGGGAGATATTTGTCTTGTATTTCTGTCGGGATTCTAAGTGAAATAAGACTGACCTTTGAGCACACGTGTAGTAGCAGCCATGGGTGGTGGCCTTCTTGCGTTCTTGTGTGGAGTAGGCTTCCTTGCCATCCTCCTCACTGGCTTCCTTGTCCTCACACCGACCAGATGCACTTCAGTCCTGGATTCTTCACTAGGAACCCTGTTACTCCTGCTCCAGTCTCACACATTGCCTTGAGTGCTTTATTCTTTCTTAGGGTCCTTGGGTCCTTTATCTGAAATAGCAAATATGGCAACCTCAAAACCTCTTTCAGATAGAATAAATGCTGTGGATAAGGCACATCTAAGTTTTTGTTTCCCCTCACTTGAGATGCAGCCACCCTTCTGTCTCTGATGTAATATTAATATATATTATGTTTTGAAAGTTTTCTCAACCTACTGAAAAGTGAATTATTTGAAGATTTGAAGTAATGTCATTATGGAATTAGGCTGTTTTGTGACTGCTGGTGTATCTCTGTATTTGATCTGACCATAGTTTGAGATTTGGTTAATATAACCTTAAAATGATGGAGTTCAGTAGCCTGGAATTATTAATCCATTATCAAAAATGGATGTAAAATTCTTGCTGTTTTCTCTCCCTGTTTAGACTAGTATGTATCTTTTTAAAACGCTCCTGCATTCTTCCGCCCTGCCTTTCCGCCTACTCTTACTCACAGAAAGTCGCACTGGCTAGCAGAGTTCATCCATCAGAGCTGAATAATTCCTTAGTCCTGTGGACCAGGCGGTAGGGAGGAGCAGCCAGGCTCTGTCAGAGACTACATAGACAAAGGGTGATGCTCTTCATTCATAAGGCATTTGCTGCTGCTGTTAGGAGGGTTATTGTTGTATGCACTTACCTTGAGCAGTTGTAAGGCTTGGTATAACTGTATTGTGGAATATGAGCCTCTTAGTACATAAAAACGTTTAATAATTAATTATGAGAACAAAGTCAGGGCTATGTCAGTTATAGTGCAAGATGTTTGATATTGTTTCAGCATCAGTTTGACAGTCTGTATCTTAAATTGTTTTTATTTTAGGGCTTTCTTCATCTTCTTTGTTATTCTCATTATTAGTAAATGAAGCTTGTACTATTTGATTTTTGAGTTTGTCTTTAAAGTACTCAAGACTGCTTTAAAAAATAAAACCTTAACACCTTTCTTTTAATTCCTTTAACATGTGATCTCTCATCTGACAATGTGTTTAAAGTGAATACTCAATGTACAACGTATAACATTCCCCTGAAAAATGCTTCCAAAATCATTTATTTATTCAGATATTGTTAGAGTGCCTATCTATGTAAGCCTAAGCAGTTAGTGTTAAACATGATTTTGTTGAATGAGGAAGTAGGGATTTTCCCTTATCTGTGGTTAGCTGCTTCTCTTTGCCATTCCTGGTTGAGCCTCTTCCCAGCTCACCCTTTGTCCATTGCTAAGCTGTCAGCTGCCCCTGTTGGTACTGTTTTCAGTAATGACTCTCAAGGTAGATCCTCAGTCATTCCTGTGTGCCCTCCCACCCCGTTATGTTGATGAAAGTAATAGGTAAGCACCAATGGGAGACAAGAGCCCTGCATGAGAAAGGATCAGTCTCTGTAATAGGGAGAAGCCTGTAACGGGGTGGCACCTTGGTGCCCAATACCCAGTTATAATGCAGCAGAACCCAACTTTGGAAGTGAGGAATTCTGGGTTCCTGTGTCACATCTCTACTTTTGGTCTTCTCCCTCCCCTCTCCCCCAAGATTGTACATCCTTTTTTATTTTAAATTTTCTGAGAAGGCTTTTCAAAGTTTCTTTAACCAGGCTATTTCAAAAAACTGAAGACTGAAATAAATACCACGGAGTACAGAAGATCGCTTTCTTTCTTCTAGTGGGGGAATATGGGAAGTGACTTTGTTGGGGCAGTCTTTTTAGTACACATTGAGAATATTGCAGCCTTCTCCAGTGACAGACATTTGTTGTGTGAGGAAAGACCAGATAGCTCTCTTAGTGTCTGAATGTATTTGAACAATTATTAGAAGCACAGCAAGAACTGAATGGTGATTCTTCCAGCTGCATTTTATGTTAAAAATATTTAAGCTTACCAAGAGGAAATTTTCAGTAGTAGCTTGCATTACAAAATTAGTTTATCGTGTTTCTGTATAATTTTATTTTTAGATGCCTTTTTGGAAAAGAATAGTGACAGTAATTTTGAGGAATCTTTAAAGGTGTCATAGAAAAGATAGCCAAACTTTGGTTAGATTTTTACTAAAATGTTGAGATTAAAAATATATAAATATTACTTTTCAGTTAAATTAGCCTTGAGGAGGAATGGTTATTTCCTGAGTTTTAAGGGTCTTGATCGATCGTTTTTCTAAAACTCATGAGGTTCATCACTGCTCAACACTCTTGCATTGTTTTAGTTCTCAAAATAATGTAATTTTATGGGAAAACTCAATTAGCAGAATCTTTTATTCCATTGTCCCCTTCCTGCCTTTCTTCTTCCCTCCCTCCCTTCCTTCCTCTCACTTTTTGAGTCAAGAAGCCTCCTTAATAATATAGTTTCTACAGAGCTTTCTTACTTATTTTTCTAATAATGGATATAACAGTGTGATGAAGTCTAAATGCTCTGTGAGCAGAACTCTTTCAGACAACCTGAGAAAATACACTCCTGAATAATGTTTCCCGTGGTCTTCAGTTGTCCCTAACACATCTGCTAGTGACTCTCAACCATTGGTGGATCTTGTTCATATATACAAGTGTCTGTGTGATTATCGACAATATTGTATTATTGTCACATTACTTTGCATTTTGGATCAAAAGTATAAACAGATAAGTGTGTGAAGCAATCTGTTTTCTAGAATGAGCGTATATCTGATCACTTTCATATAATGGAAACTGTGCTATATGTTGCATTTTATCCTCATAACTACTTTTCTACTATCTATACACCGATTGTCTCGGTGCCTTTTTCCTTTTGTATAATTGTACTACATAAAGAAATTGTTGACTTCTGTGTAAACAATGTTAAAATTACTATTCCAAGGAGATTTTAATGACAGTTTAATTTTCAGAGAATAAATTTTTGTGTGGGTTAAAAATTACTTTTCTTCACCTTTATGTAAGAAATCTATTCACGCTTTAGTACTCACATGGAATGGGTAAACATCTGACTTTTCTAATAATATATAAAAATCAGCCCTAATTCTTATCACTGACAAGCAAGTGTTAATATGACTGTTATACAAAATAAAATATCAATTACAGTAGCAAATATCAAGTGGTCACATGTAAATGTTGTAAAATCTTGGGTCTGGAAGGAATATCATTTAAGCATGCTATGACATATTGCCATCACAATGTTTGGGTCATATTATTTGCTTCACCTGTAAGTCAAGTCTGGCCTCTCTCCTCTCCCCAGAAAAATAAACTACAGACATTTTTTAACATTTTAAAACAATTTCCTTTAAAGTTGATACCATTGAAGGACAGAAGTAACTAGTTTTAAAATGGTCTCAGTATCTTTAGCTTCCCTTTAGCGTGAATTTGTGGTCATTCATAGCCGTATCTTCAGTCTGTTTAGCAAAGTCCTTTTCCATTGGGCATTAGTAGTTTGTTGATTTTTAATTCTGTTTTATTAGGTAGTTGTATTGTTTCCCAAATACCTTGGGGTTAGAGATCTCTTTGGTCCATTTTATTTCTAGCAATAAAGATTTATAACAACAGACTTAACAAGTACTATTTTGCATATGAAAAAGAATTTAAGCATTTGGTGCTCTAAAATTGACAGAAATTAAAGTTGCTACATCATCTAATCTCTGGTTGTCTTGAATCCTTAGTTCCATAAATTAACCAGAGCCTTTTTTGTTAACTTTTTAAAAGGGTAGAGCATCAATGCCCAATTGGTCTGGTTTACTTTTTGTTTTGTTTTGTTTTGTTCTGTTTTTGCTTTTTATAGAGTTTATGTAAGTTTCATGAAAACATAAAATGTGTTCACAATGTAATCTTCAGCCACAGTTTAAGGAACTTGTATCCTTTCCTAGAACTTGCTGCTGAATTCTCAGATATTTTCGGCAAATATAGACTTGCTTGTGAGTGTTCACAAAATTCTCTTTCTGAATTCTAAGCAGTGTCCCCATTTGGATAGTTTATTTGTTATTGAGTGCTTTGAAAAAAATCATTTTTATCTCGGTCATGGCTTGTTGTCTTTCAGAGAAAGTTTACATGAAGTGCAATTCCAGCAGAGGATTGGCACATCTGTATTCTTGCCAGCAAATCACTACGTTATTTTCTGTTGTTACAGGGGGGTTGGGTAGTTATTCATTATAATGTGTTAGGATTGCATTTTGATTGCAAATTGGCTATAACCACTCTGATCTCCAGTATGCAAAGTAATATTTACGTCAGCTCTTTTCCCCAAATATTATCAAAATACTCCATACAGTTTTCCTTTTGAAAAAATAAACTCATTCTAATCTAAAAATAAAAGATCTCAGTAAAATATGCGGAATATTGTGTTTGGTTAGTACTTTATAATGAATTAAATGCTTCTGTATAACTAAATAACAAGTAAATGGGGACAAGCCACAGTCTTGCATCTCCTAATGACAGGGATACCTTCTGAGAAATGCATTACTGGGCAGTTTTGCCACTGTGTGAAGTAACTACCAAACTTTAAAAAGGGTGGGGCCAGCAGCACGGCATAGCAGGCTAAGCTGCCGCCTTCAACGCTGCTGTTCCATGAGTGCCAGTTCCAGTCCAGGCTGCTCCACTTCTGATCCAGCTCCCTGCTAATGTGCCTAGGAAAGCAGCAGAAGATGGCCCAAGTGCTTGGACCCATGCACCCTCATGGGAGACACAGATGGAATTTCAGGCTCCTGGCTTCAACTTGGCCCAGCCCTGGCCATTGCTACCATTTGGGGAGTGAATCAGATCTCTCTCTCTCTCTCCCCCTCTCTCTCTCTAACTCTAACTCTAACTCTAACTCTAACTCTAACTCTGTAACTCTGCCTTTCAAATGAATGAATGAGTGAATAAAATCTTTTTTTAAAGTATTTTCCAAAGTAGCATTTTGCATCCTACCAGTAATGAATGAAAATTGTTACTGCTTTACACTGCTGCCAGCAGTTGGTATTGTCAGGGTTTTGTGTGTTTGTTGTTTTGGATTTTAGCCATTCTAGTAGGTATGCAGTGGTGTCTCACTTGGAATTTTCAGTTGCCTACAGATGAGATATCATGTTTCCATCTGTGTATTTTCTTTAGCAGTGAGGTGTCTGTTTAAATCATTGCCCATTTTTTAAAAATGGTTTGTTTTCTTAATGTTCTGTTCAAGAGTTCTTTGTGTATTTTGGATACAAGTCCTTAATCTGATGCATGTTTTGCAAGTGTTTCCTTCCAGCCTCAGCATGTCTTGCCATTCTCTTAACATTGTCTTTCACTGAGCAGAAGTGTGTAGTATTAATAAAGTTCAATTTCTCTTTTTTTTCTTGAAGATGTTGTGTTTCTGATGCTGCATCTAAAACCTCAGTGCACACCCATGGTCATCTAGATTTTCCACCACATTTTTTTCTAGAAGTTTTATCGTTGGCATTTTACATGTATGTCTATGACCAATCTGGGTAAAAATTTTTGGAAGGTATAAGGTCTGTGTCTGGGTTTGGTTTTGTTTAGTTTTGTTTTTGAGTGTTCAGTTGTTCCAAAGTACCCTTTCTCCACTGAATTGCCTTAGCTTCTTTGTCAAAGAGGAGTTGACTACATTTCTGTGTATCAGTTCTTTTACCATATAGTCTCATGTTAGATCTTGGGTACTTGGTACTCTAACTTTGTTCTTCAGTTTTATGTTACGTCTTTTGCCTTATCCATATAAACTTGAAAAACAGTTTGTTGATATCTATAACACATAATGTTTTGCAATTTTAATAGATTGTGTTACTTTCTCTAATCCAGAAAAATGAAATATTTCTCCATTTATTTAAATTTTTACCTGACTTCTTTCATTCAAGTTTGGTAATTTTCCATATATAGATCTTAGACATATTTTATTAGGTTTATATCTATTTTTTTCCTTTGTAGACCTATCAGAAATACTATTTTTTAACTTCCAATTCCAATTTTTTTTTGCTGGTATTTTGGAAAGCAATCAACTTTCTATACATCTATTTTTTTTAATGATCTTTATTTATTTGA